GCCCCAAACTCAAACAGACACACACTGTCAAATATGCACAAACTTAAGCCCAATGCACACACACACGTGAGATACACGTGTGTAAGTGCGCACAGAGAAACGCACACACTGTCTACACTCCTCTTTGCACCCCCGGGGATTCAAATGATTTCACAAATGCTCACACTTAATCCACCAGCCAGGCGACAAAAGCTTAGATGATTGTGCGTGAGAATGTGTGTGTGGCACTGTACTGCACTGTGGTTTATATGAGTAAAAGATTGTGATTGTTTACTGACTGTAAATCTGACTACACTGCCCACTTAAAGTAAAAATAGTCGTCGAAACGTGAAGGTGGTGTCTAAAAGATTTGTTTTGTCACAGTCTCCTTTTTTTGTTTTCACTCGACAAAAGAGCGATTGTTATCACTTCTGTTCCCTTGTTTTTTTGTTCCCATGAAGACGACACTGCATGCACGAGTTGATGAGGACAATAAATGCGTATCCAGACATGTGCGTTGCCTGGAGACTCTCCGTGTTGTCTGATGTAGTGTATGAATCTTAATTAATTTTCATCAGACGACCCAAACACTGAGATCAGCAAACAGCTTAGACCTTCATGTGAATATCAGTTGAAAGCCAACGATTCAAGTTGAAAATTTTATCGCTGCAGGAAAAATGATTTGAGATTTTTTAATATAAGGTGATTATTCCAAGGACAGAAGCTGCCGAGCTTGTTTAAATAAGAGATACAAAAATTAAAAAAATCTCACTTTCTGCGTTCAGCTCAGACAATACGTCGCAAGGCCATTCTCAGTGTTTTGTGGAAGAAATCTTGGAGGTTGATAAAATTGGTTTTAATAAATGCTTATTAATCAACTTCATTATAGGACGTGTTTTCTAACATTCTCAGTTGATGCAAACATTTGGCAACAGCTTCTGCGTTTGTTGGAGAACCTTGGAATCCATGTGCACACTGCGTTTCTTAACATCGTGGGGTAAATAATCACATCACTGCTGATTGGCCAACAGTTCTGACACACCGCCAGAATGAGAGAAAAGGATCGGAGCGTATCGAGGAAACATGTCGTTCAACCTGGAAACCGAAGCAAAGCTGTTTTGAGATTCTCTCCTCAGTTGTCAGTTGGTCTTTGTTGACGCTTATAGTACGAACTTTGAGCCTTCACACCAAATAACAGTTATTAAATGAAGCTGTGAAGTAACAGAGGAAAGAAGCAGTAACTCATTACTGAGTAAAGTGAAAGTGTGTGGATGCTGTGCTGCCAGGAGTTTGATGGAGGGTCGTCTCTTTGTAGCCGGTGGAACCGACTGATCTGTGTTTGACTGCTAATTACTTTTGCCACAGTGGAATTAAGTCACATAGTCACCTATGTAATAAGTAACTAATTTAACCAGCACATCCCTGCGAACAACACATCACATGAGACCCGATGAGAGCCTTCTGTTTTCTGGGTGTAACCAAACATCAACAAAAGCAATTAAATCTGACGGAACCGTGACATTATCTAAACATTATTCTGATGGCACCTCCGCACCGCAGAGATTTGTTATTCACCATTTCAGAGAGACAGAGACAGAGAGAGAGAGAGAGAGAGAGAGAGACGGCGATAGAGGGGGATTATGAAAGTCCCCATTCTCCCTATAATCCACTATGCTCTCTCAGACGTCACTCCAAAACCTACACCTTTCCACCAAAGGTTTGGTGGCCTGCATTGACAGAGAGTAAAACCTTTGTCTAATGTTCACAGGCGTAGCTAACAACATCAACCCTGACTACTCATCTGTGCAGCTCCGGATGCTGAGGAGAAATGCTGGTGTTTTACCCTATGAAATAATTTGTAGTGCTGAATAGATGTGTAGAAATGAGATAAAGAAATGAAATGACTTGGAGTTAAAAGATAATTTATGCCAGAATACTTTTAAAGTGTGTGTGCTCAGTGTGTGTCAGAACTACCACTGTTGAAGGTGGAATTGTGCCCTCAATATATCTAAGACACATCCCAGAATGCATTTCATTTTAGCGGCACTAACCCACCATAGTGAAACACACTCACGCACATAAGCATGCATTCATGTTTTCCATTTAGATACACACTCTGATCTTCAAAGCTTTCCTTGTGGATCTCTCTCTCTCTCTCACACACACACACACATGCAAAAATCCATGGTGTCAAAAAATGAGATCTACAGCAGTTTTTTCCTTTTGTCACTTCACTTCTATCACTACTTCTCCCCTATTCTCACTCTATGTCTCGCTCTCTCTCTCTCCCTCTCTCCAACTCACCCGCCTGAAGCTGTGCAGTTAGGGGGCTCAGTGGCAGATTTTGCCTGGCAGTTCTAAGGACACATGAGCCTCGGAGGAAAGACAAGAGACAGAAAGACAGATGGGTGGGCGATGGAGATATACAATATTTGTTAGAGCTCGATTTCACTCCTCCCCTCCTTCCCTCCTTTGTAATCCTTCCACTCTGTCAGTGGTGGCATTGAGTCGGAAGCAGTGGGCGCGCTGTCAATTTACCACAAATTTACTGTAATTAAATGGGGAAACTTCAACTGCTGATGGTTAGCCAATTTTGTGGGGAATCAAAATGAGTGATGCAGCAAACAACCGGGTCCGAACCAAACCTGCGACCGCAGCAGAAGGGCTGTAGCCTCAGATTTTTTTTCCTATTCTTATTAAAATGGTTGCATGCTTGTCGATTCATGCTGGATTCAGCATGTGGCGTAGTTATCTAACCAAGACTGACAATTTTTACCAGATGTGGTTTTCCTCAAGCTCAGCTGGCACCTGACTCCCTCCGCTTTGTGACATCACCTTGTGATGACTCACACACCTGCTCTCAGAGTGTGAAACCTCTGTCTCAGTTTCTTGCCTCACAGGCTGTTTATTAAAACATTTAATGGCTGCGTGGTGTTTTTTTTGCATCACAACTGAAACTCATGAGCCTGGGTGTATATACACATAAATGAATGAGGCCTTACAGCCCAGACAGCGTACGGAGGTGGGCCACTTCAGACAGTGACGCAGCATTTCTGGCCGTCTTGTGGGCCACTTGTAAAATAGGAAATGTGACCCAAATATCACAAAAGCCTTTGAGCCCTAAATCCTATGCTCTCCGCAAGGTGTAATCTGGATGTGAACCTAAATTGGCCCATTTGGTTAATGATGAACATAGTACAAAAAGCACAATTCAGGCCACCTATGGTTGACTTGTAGCATTGCTATGGCTAACTTGTGGCCCAGATCTTGGTTAACCGGAGCGGACCACCCGAGTGCCATGATTCTAAGTGATATGTGGGCTGGATGACAGTGTGACAGTGTGGGACAAATCTGGGCCAAAACTATGTGGGAAGGCTTGTTGTGCTGGTAGAATACATCCCTGACATGTGGAACTAAACAGTGACCTGTAACGTGAGATTTATGTTCTTAAAAATTCAAACAAACTAGATATTTGATGCTCATGATTATTGCCTCAATTTGGTACAAGCATCATTATCTCTGCCCATTTGTTGTTAAGCAAGGTTATTCCAAAACTACTAAGGGGTTTAGCATGGACTTTGGTGGAAGGATGTATATGGGTCAAGACAGAACCCATTGAATTTTGGTGCGGATCTGGATCATTCATCATTTTATTTGACATTGTAAGATATGAAACTCTCTATAAGTTTGCTCTGCCTTATGTCCAGCTCCCTCACGACCCTTGAAGGATCAGTGGTATAGATCATGAATGGATCCATATATTATTCTAACTGCAGACCTGTCTATCCATGACATAGAATAATAGAAACATATACAGAATTGTATGTTTCAGTCTGCACCGGCTTGTCCTCACCGGGGTCTTGCAGCACGAGGCATGATAATCGGATGTTTGCATAATCAAATAACAAGTGGGAATTGTCCAGATGAAGACCACACAGCTGACTGGCTTTGTTATTATTTTCTGTGTAAAGGAGATTTCCACCTGAATTATCTGCATGTCAAGTACGGATGGAATTGCACATTTGTATGCGGCACAAGAAAAGCATTTCAGGCTTAATTAGGTATTCTTCACTGCTCTTTCAAAGCAACGAGAAATCACATACAATGAGAGCACAAGCTTGAATATCTCCCATCATACGGGTTTTGTATCAAGACAAAAGAGATGTTTAACTACAAAGATACAGACAGAGAGGTCAGGACACTCGTGCACAAGAACTTATTTGTCTTAAATTATAAACTAGAGTGCAGCAAAATGTAAAATAACAAGAGATGCAAAATATACATTCTTGCTCATGAAATTACACATAAGATACTAAAAATGCCCATTGCAATGAATACCTGCAGACATTTAATGTATGAAACTTTCCAAATTGACATTTCATTACAACTCATCCTAAAGATCCGACCACGTACAAACACATATCCGACCACAGATCTCTGAAACCTTTTGTTTTCAGAATGAAGTTTAAAATTCTCCTCCTGGTCGACAGAGCACTTCAAGGCTCCGCAGGATCTTTCTAACATGCTGTCAGTGCAGCATCCCAGCAGATCTCTCAGATAACAAGGTTGGAAATCTCCCCCATATGCCCAGAGAGCTTTCTCAGCCCGGTGAGTTGGCTGTCAGTATTCATGCAACCGAAGAACGGATCAGCTTCCCAGCTGATCTCACTGTGGTTTGCTCGCTTCAAAGGTTTTTTTCTTAATTCTTAATGAAGCACTTTATGAGTTTTAGCCTGTTTTTATTCAAAGCCATTTAAACCAGGTGTTGTTAAACGAATAAATCTGGATTAGAAATGTAGAATTGAACTGAGGTCAACATAGTGTTGTTATTAACCCTTTTGCTTCGCAGAAAAAATGGTTGATACAGGTGTTGCCTCTAACAACCCTGTTGGTCGTACTCGTGTCTGAATAACCATCTTAAAGTGACTTCTTGAGGTTTTGGTCTCTGTTTTTTTTATCCTTTCCTGTTTTATTGTGAAGTTCCTCACCTCATGTGTCTTGTTGTACTTCCTGCTCTTGTTTCCTGCACATGTGATTGTCTGCTCAGCTCTGATGTGTCTCACTTCTTTTCCATGCTCCCCTTGTTTATTCTGCCTCATGGTCGTGAGTTCTTTGTCAGTTCATCTGTTCACCTCCTCATTTGGATTCTGAGTTTACCTGCCTACCTGTCAAATGGAGCATCTGTAAGTCTCTCTTCTCACATTAAGTAGTCACTGCCTTTTTCATGAGTCTCCATTTTGGGTCCTGATGCTTAAAAGCAAGCTGAGAGAGGAGTTAGTGTGGATTCACATGCTCCTCAGAAGGTCCAAATTCCTGAGTTGTGAAGTCATCGTCCAAATTTGGTGTGTTCATGTGTTTTGAAATCAAAATGTGGAAAATCTGTAAACAACATGTGTTGTATTCACGTGTTCAGAGCATTGAAACCACACCTTGATGCCTCTTTCCAATATTTTCATTGTAACAAAGAGCAAAGAGAAGCGATCGAGCGTCGCAGCCATATGAATAATTTTAAATGTGAGATGCGAATCATACAATTGGCTGAAAGTCTGGTGTTAGGTGCTTGTGAGATAAAGATCCAGTTTGCAAATGCAACGACTCACAAGTTCACCTTAAAAGATGCTCTTTAAAGCTGATTGTTACATTATGTTGATTAGATAATAAGTGTTGATGTCATTTTCAAAAACCTTTCCGAGTTGTTGTTTTCAATGGCCTTCATGTGAATTTTCCCAGGTGGGAAATCATATTGTCCATTTAATCCAGCGCCATCTGACATGTCCACAATATCAGACAATAAGATTAGATGGATTAGATCTACTACACTGTGTGTGGTGGAAGAAACAAGCTTCATCTGTGTTTTGTGGATAATGGAAAAGCTGTTGTTGGATAGTTTTGACTGTTCGGTTTCTGTCCCCTGCCTCAAAGTTAACGCACATCCCCAACATGTGACGATACCAAGCCGTTAACCAGATTTCAACACGAGAGAAGTAAAATTGACGGCTCACTCCAACGCTGTCAAATAAATAATGCCTGAGCCTGTGAGGACAGTATGAGCAAGAGCTGCATCACAGGAGTTCAAACTTAAAGCTCGTCCTGTGTCAGTGTGATAGAGGCTCACGGTGACCAAGCTTCACACGATGTTCCTCACCTCTCACTGTGTGTCAGCTGGGATTAACTCAGCACCCCCCCTGCTGCGACCCGCGAATGATAAGTGCTATTATTTCTGTTGTGCATTAGTTCTCACAGTAAACTTCGGGAGATTCACAACAGATTTTTCGTGCACAGCTGGAAATCGCCTCCTCAAAGCGAGAGGTCACAGGGTTCAACCCCAGAACATTAGAATTAACCTTCTGTAAATTGTGACGGAAATTTAGCGATTAGTTTTTGACGTCTTTGGTAGAAAGTTGACAATTTGACCTGTGGGCATCCTGAGGGGAAAACCCACGGGGGGAAAAAATGGGAGCGGTTCGAGCGTGAATGTGCAGCACACATTTGGCCGATGTTTCTTCTGAGTTCAACTGACAAGCATAGTGCAGTTGAACTCATTTCCTCAAGACAAAATATCCCTCAGAGACCCACTTTGACCTCTGTTATGGAAACGCAGCGCGAGTAAAACAAAAACATATTCTAAAACACAACAGGATTTATGAGGATAATACAGCACCAGCGAAGAATGTTAACAGATTGTTTTATATTCATAGTTGGACGATAAACACAATACAGAAGTAGACCTCAGGAAGACTTGAATACTGCTTTTCTCGGGATGATTTGTTTGGGGGAGAGTTTTCCCTTGTGTGTGTTTGTGTGTGAGAGGCCTGCGCTCATGTATTCTCACACGTACATCTACTATGCCAAGTAATGATCGTAGTAATCATTACAGTCCAGCACTCTTCTTCCATTTTACTTCCAATGGAAGAGCACGGTCTGCCCGGTGTCATGCTCAGCTCACAGGCAGCTGGCCGGGCTCTCCCTAACTGATTTATAGTGTGTGTGTGTGTGTGTGTGTGTGTGTGTGTGTGTG